ATGCAACTACGAAGCAAGCAATCATTAAGAACATTCTATACTTAAAGTACCTACCAATGGCCTAGTAAAGAAGGAAAATATTGTATGAGGGCTCGTTACCCTGAGAATTTCTTTATCAATTCAATGACCTTATCTGAGGTTCATTCAAACTAACGCACAGACCATCAATAAAAGTAATAAATATGAATCATTGAGGGGTCAATCGATAATGACCTTTTGTTCACGTAGTAAGTACCAGACATTAATGTTCGGCGATTCGAAATTTTTTTTTTATAAATAATAAAAATACAGATAATTAAATTTAGTATAAAATAGATACTTTCATGTTATATGAAAGTTTGTAGTTTGAAGTTTTATAGCATATATACTTCATGCAGCCAGCCTGTATTTTACAAATATCTTAATTTAAAAACACTATTCCTTATTGCGTTTCTTCATAGACCATCATTGGTATTCTCGTTTCTCGCCTCTTCAACCCACGATTTCAATAAAACAATTGACCTACTCTGTACTCAATCAAGTAAATAAAAATGTCATTTGCAATATTCTCAACCTTGCATCTAAATATACACATTAACTATTATGAGATTGTTAAGAAGATCGGAAGAAACCTTAGAACCGATGTGGCGTATAAAATCGTTTTACTGTTATAATATTGTCTGAATTCAAAAATTCCCTTAAATTTTAAATAAAATGTGAGTTTAGCTACCGGAAATCGAATAACTGATTAACACTAACTCATAATATTTCCGGAATGCGTGCCAGTGCCGAGATAAGAATATTAAAAAACGCATTTCCATATACAAACATATAGGGGAAGATCGTTACCCTTCGTACGCGGGGCACATTCATACAGTCAAAATAAAACTTGAACGAAATAAAGTACAGTCTTGCTTTTGTATGTGTGCATGAGTCGAGGTACCAACTATACATCAACGAAGTTTCGTGAAATTCGCACCGATGAGAGTGAAGTTACAGGCATAGACGTGTTTTCGCGCTCGGTAAGTAATTTTTTGATCTATGTTTTTATCTCTTGTTACCGTAGATAAAATAAGTTTTCGTGTAGAGTATTCTATCAGTAACTAGCAAAATATACTTAAGATACGTCTCCAATACTTAATGTATGACGTTTTCCTATTAATATTAAAATAAGTTATATTTTGTTGTTATTCAGTTAGTGGGGTACATTCGGACAGCACTAGATGGGGCACATTTGTACGAATTGTACAACTAAATTTGTATAATAATTTGTCGACGCGAACTGTCTTTTTCATACAAATTAAGTTTTCGACTTTCTACATATTACACTACTGTTAAGGCATCTTGACTAAGGTTGATTTTGATGCTTGTGAACCAGATGCTGTGAATAATTTACCAATCCATCAAATAGTAGTTCCTTCGAAGTCAGTTTTGACACCAGAGGCATTTCGACCCTATTCGCATTCTGTAAGAAGTAATAAAACAAGCAAAATGACGATGACGGCCAGGAAAACCACGAATTTATACTGCCACACCCGAAAATAAGAAGTTGTAATCCACACCAAAGAGTAAAAAATGTAATTCTAAATTTAAGATACCTAACTAATTAAATTTTGTTTTACATAAGAAAAGTATTTTATTTTTGTTTAATAGAAATTAAATCTTTATTTTTGTGTTTAATTTCATTGCTAATAAATGAATTTTGAACTACCCCACAGCGTAAGAAGGTACCCCAAACACTGTACGAAGGTGCCCCGTTGATGGGGCAGATTCGTACGTTTTCCAGATTTAGTTTAAATCATAATTATGGTTGAAACATCGGATGAAATCATTTGTCATTTTTTTATTTGAATCTCAGATAGTTAGACTATAAATTTAAGCTATCAGGTGATTGATTCATGGAAAAATAAAAAAATTAAAAAATAAAATGTGAAAACCGTACGAAGGGTCCCCACCTTCCCCTACTAGTAATTCCAATATTAGTATTAAAAATATAGCATTTGATTTTCTTAATCTAAGCTAACAGTCACTTGAAGGTATGATAACGGACCAAGACTTGTTTGACAACTTTTTATACTTGCACCTTATAGGCTGGGACATCCAATAAGTAAGGCAAGGTCCCTGACCATTTTATAATATTACATGGTAATAAAGGGCCATGGGTTATTATACAACTCATCTTATCAATACATAATTAGTTGCTTGTGAAATGAGAGATGAAAAAAATTGCCAACTTTTTATGCCAGTTAGGATCATATTATCAATTTGTACCTTTTCATTTTTTTTAGTTTATTGCAAATTAAATAAAAGGCAAAACAAAAGAATTTTTCAAATCATAGTAACTGTAATAATACTGTAGTAGATGTAAAATTTTGAGACTTACATATACAAGTTATTGTCATAAATATTTATGACTATAATAACAAATATTTACCAATCTACACTCAGTTATTTTAAGTAATAGATGTCATAATGTTTCACTTAATGAGTTTGTATTCATGTTTTTTTTTTATTTTAATTATGGCTAGTATAAGTTCTGTTATAAATTAAAATTCAAGTAAGTGTTCCTGCATTGCCTATGTCATATTATGTCACTTCTTAAACCTGCTCACTAACAAACTATAAATAAATGATATCTGCAATGAGATATCAGTAGCAAACTGCGATAGTGATCATATTACTAACCACAGTTAATCATGATTCTTGTAAATTGATATGATCTAAAGTTATGTATTGGTTGCTTAATCAAATATCATAATAAAATTATGAAGAAATATTATTGATGATTTAGGTTCATCTGGATAAAAACATCTATTTCTTTAAATATTTTAGAAACAAATGAAGGCTTCAAAGATCTTTTATCAGAGCTGTCAGGTACTAAGATTAAAATTAAATTTAATGAATTTATTATTTATATATCCCAAAAAAGGAATATGTTAAGAAATAATCCAATTTATTTTATCTTAATTTTTAGATTATGGCTTAAAATATTTTTTTTAAAAATGCAAATGCAATTTTGATTACTAATTTGACTTTAAAAGAATTTATAGATGTTATTTGCATGCTAAACATCATCATTGTATAATTAATTATAATTAACTATAAATACAATGAACATTACCAAATGTGACCTAGAGAATAAATTATGCATATACTATGTCAACTTAATTGCATATTTCCTCATTTGAGTACCTAAATCTTAACATAATACATACCAATATCAGTGATGGGTGCTTTAGTACTATATCCCTTTAAGTGTCCAGAATCAGAATCATCAAGTACTTCTGGTTCCTCAGGGAGGCCAGCAACCACGAAATAGTCAGCTACCCTTCGCTCATCCATTTCTGTTGTTAGTTTTAATAAGTTTTAACCTGCAGATTGTCTCCATATAAAATCGAGTCCAGAAAAATCCATCAAAAAACATAACCTAATCTACTATCGTTAAATTTTCCATTTTGGTGAAAAATCGAACGTCTCCAAAATCTCCTTACGAATACTTACTATGATTTTTTTTTAACACAAATTGACTAGGAAAAGCGAAATGTTATTAAGTCATTTTGGTAAACTGTTAACATGGCCTTCTTGTGTTGCGTAAAAATTACTTCGCTTCATTATTTTCCTGTCATGCTTGTGATGGATTTTAGACTTCGTATTTAAGTTTACAAGTCACTGTGAACTTCACAAAACTCACAAATTATACACATCCACAAACATGAAACATCGAAATAAATTGAGATTTTTATATTGTGACAGTGATGAGTGAACAGTGAGTGAACACACTGTCTCCGACAATTTACGTTTTTGCGTTTTGCTACTATAGTCCTTTTCATGAAAGAAGTCCCCCAGACGCGGCGCTGCAATCGCATGACGTAATGTTGCCATTTATGAGTAAAAAATTTACCTATTTTATGTACATTTAGCAGATGTAATTTATCAAAAAATATTATTTTCTGCATACTTCGATGAACAATATTTCTGTTATGTAAAAAGTATATTTTATTTACTTATATTAGCGGTGTTCTACCTACTTACAGGGATAAGATGAGAAAATAGGGTAAAGAAAAGCAATACAATTTTTTATTCAGAGTTTTATTGCATAATTGTTGGGTTACAATTTTTTTCGAAGTACACGCCGCTGTTATACCTTCGTTTGTAATTCTTGTTACAGTTTTCTATGACACACCTGCAATTAAATTATGAACAATTAAAAATAATAATAACTAAGTTTATAATGCTTATGTTAAATGTAATATATGTTTTAATTTCAGTTACCTAGTTTCACCACGTTATGTATTTGTTCAATTTTGTCGCAAAAACGAATTTATATCATAAAAGTCCCATCAATACAGCAAAAAATTATTAAATGGCAACTCTAAAAGGTATCTGTTATGGCGGCAACTCTCTTCCGAACATTGTTTAGTGGTATTAAAACACCTTGATTCTTATGTTCCGCTTCATAGAACTCTTTCACCTTTAATATCATTTCTCGAGCCGAAATTTTTACAACTTTTGGCATTGTAATCAATCTTTAAAATGCACTAAGCTAGTTAAAAATTCACAAAAATCTACCACAACAAACGAACTTAATAACATCGACGAAAGACAACATTGCCGACCTGTCAAATTTAGTTCCAAAAATCACCGCGGGACTTCTTTCACGAAAAGCACTACTACTTTAAACTTCACTCTGACATCGCATCAAGGCGACTTTTGATTAAATGTCAATAAGATTAGTTCAACGCACGAAAAACAGATATTAACAAATAATTTATTAGTCTTACACCATAGATAATTATTAGCTGTAACTTTAAAAGTTAGTTACATCCTATATAACGAATACCACGATATTTTGTGATGAAATATTGAAGTTCTGTCGTAAGCTATGTATATTGGGTACTAATTACATACACGTTGGAATCAATCATAAAAATGTAATTATTATAGCTATATACATTAGGTCCTAATAAGTGTAGGTACTTAAGAAAAAAATTAAACTAATTAATAAATCAATAAAAATATATTCAAACATCAATAATAACTTCCTTTTGTGCTTTTGTTGATGGAGCTAATGCATCTGTGTTTTCAATAGAATCAACTGTGTTACTAATTTGTGCTGCAGATAAGAGCAGCCCAATAGCACCCTCTAACTCACATACACGTTTACATACATCAATTTCACAATTTAACTCATCCTGCATGGCTTTATATAGAATTTTTGTTTGTGTTGTCAACAGTGATATTCTGCTTTCAAAAACATCAACAAATACATTTGCAGCATCAATGATTGTTCTACAAAATCTTGTTTCACCAAGATTTTTCTTAAAAAATCTTAGGAGTGCTCCAATTGACTTTTCTTCTAAACCATCCATAGCTACATGTAGCACTTTTCTTCTGAGTAGTTCCTGAAGCAGAGCAATTGTTTTTTCTGGGAATTTTGTAGCAACATATGGTTTTAGAACTATCTTTAAAGCTTGTGTAAACTCCATTTTTCTTAAATGTTTGTCTGCCTCTGATTCTGTCTTTACTTTTGATTTAGTTACTACAGTGTCTACTGGAGATGTAAGAATGTGATCAGGAGCAAATTTGAATAGTCCTTTATTTTCATTAGATGCTTGCACAGGCTGATCTCGTTTTCTTATTGATATAACACCATCTATCATGCCTACTGCTAAAACATCATCATTTTCTGAAATACCCAAGCTCAAAACTGCATTTGGAAAATCAATATTATGTACCACTTTAAAAGTGGATATATCATATATTTTAACATGTCTATCTAAAGAAGCAGATACCAATCTACTGTTGTTGCTTGCAAGTCTTATAGTGGTTACAGTTTTATGATGCTGGGAAATATTAGCTAACAGTTTACCTCCATTGAATAAATCCCATACTTTTATTTCTGTACCTCCTGCACTGACAAAAATACCACCAGATGGTAAAAACAATGTTGATTCAACTGGACTACCATGATTGACACTTAATATTGTTTCATTACATCTGCAGTCATAAAGTTTTACTGCATGGTCATAGCCACCAGACAAAATTATATCAGGAGATAAAGGACTTGCAGCTCCAGCTCTTATGTAATCTGTATGTTCAGAGAAAGTGGCAAGTTTCTCTTCTGTAGCAATATCCCAAAGGCAAACAGATTTGTCATCTGAGAAACTAAGTACTTTTACTTGATCCTTTGTAAAGAATGTTCTATGAACCTAAAAAAATAATAAATAAATAATATGTTTTAGCAGTTTGTTAGTTATAATATAGCAGAAAATAAGTTAAAAATAAATAACAACAGAATATAAAGTCTTTAACACATTAGTCTAAGTATACACAAAATAGTGGTACACTGAATCCTCTAAACTTTTGAGCATGGTTCACAGTTGAGATTTAGTGCTATATCTGACTCTGATATGTCACAAACATATTAGATTTTGACTTATGGGACTAATTTTTTGAACTAATTAGGTAGATACCTAATTTTACTCTGAAGGTCATTAAATTTATATTAATTATAGTGACTTACTGGTGCTGTATGGCCTGTAAAGAGTCTAAGAACATTTTTAGACTGAACATCAAATAATTTTACAGCCGCTTCTTCACTACCACATACTAAAAGCCTGCCGTCATTTCTAAAGGATGCTCCATATGCGCCTTCTTTAAACTTTGATATATTTTTGGCTACCACTTTTGTGATTGGATCATATATCTGAAAAGTAATCACAATATGTTCATAAAAGGAAATTAATTATTATATATAAATGTAATTTTGTATTACCATTTGGCTTGAATATGTTTGCATAAACATTATAATGGTAAAGTAGATACATAATAACAAACAAATGTGAAGTATATATAAAAGATAAATGTTCGATACTTTACCTGGATTCTTACAGAACATGTTGCAGCAAAATAATGTGGCTCTACTGGACTAAAATCAATGTAATCTATTGCACCAAATTCTTTAACTAGTACTGGTAACTAAAACAAAAGAGAAAAATTAAAAAATATATATGGATCAAGATACATTGCAATTCATCTAATTTATAAGTAAAATACCCCAAGCTTTTTCCAATAAATAACATCTTTGGTGGTTACAGACGCCGGCTTTTGGAAGACTGATTTATTAATTTTCTTAAAAGGATATGATATATGAGCCATAGTTGAAACGAATAAATATTGTTTAAGCTTCTATGTAGAACCATGAAAGTTTTATTGTTATAATTAAAACCAAACAACAAAAATAATATTTTGTCACACGTCTTTCATTCTTATTTCTATTTATTCATCAATACTCAACACGTGTTTTTGGCAATTTACTTTTGTCTATTTAATTTCACAGATAAGTAATGTTTATACTTTATTTTATACGTGAAACTGTTTCCATCGACACAGGTTTATTATAATTTATCCCTATTCCCTAGTGCCGACTGCCGAGCAATCTTGGACGGAAGGGTTGAAGAATATGTTTTTGAAGTTATACTTTAGGCGCGTTATGAAAAATTGATGAGAGTGAAGTTTTACGATGCGCGCGCACCTGAGACACAAAGTTGTGAGTGTGATTAAAGCGTGCGCGAGCGAGATGGAAATAAGACAATCTACAAGTAAAAAGAAATAGAATATGCGTGAAGTTAGCTGCTATGCCAAGAATTGTGAATGACCATAATGACATTTACCTTTTAAACAAATAAAGGAGTTTTAATTATTTTTTCAAAGAAATTTAGCAATGCTTTTTCACAAAGATCTATTGTTACTTAGTTAAAACATACCAATTTATTAAATTGAATGAATAATATAATAAAATAATAATAATAATTGTTATTAATATAAATTAATAATTGAATAATATACTAAATTTTAAATATTATTAAATTGTTTACGTAAAATATTAATTATTAATTAATTATATTTTAAAAAAATTAAGAAAGCCAAAGAAGTATAACTTCTTACGCGCGTACATAAGTACACGCACCCTTTTTTTTGTTATTTACAGTGAGTACAAAATATAATAAAATATTTAAGGTCATACAGTGCGTTTTCCAATTACAGAGCATTTTTCGACTCAGTGCCGCACAATGCCGCATAATGCTGAAGCTTAATTGGAACGTGAATTAGTTTTCAAATGCATCAGCGGAGTGCGCTAAGTCAGTGTTGACAAAAAAATGGTCTGAATAGAGTTAGCAACCTCATTAATGTATAAATAATGTGGTAAACAATAATAATTGGTTGAAAACTTTTTACGCTTAATTTAATAATCAAATTATTTCATTAAATTTTTTTTACTGAAATAAGAGAAAACCTTTAAAGAATATAAGGTTTTAACAAGCTAAATTAACAGTAAAATATTTAGTTTCATGTAAGAAGTTTACATCATTTACGTTTTGAGTAATATTTTTTAATGATTTCTAAAAAAATATATACTTTTTCAAAACCATTGCAATTTTTTCTAAAGTATAATCCTGTAAAGTAAATTTGTTTACAGATCCGAATTTTAAAATAAAATTGTATTCATATTTTAAATGTGGAATATAAAAAAGTAACTATTTATACCTTTATCCATACTAATATTTATTTTTTTAGCAGTTTGAAATAACTTTAATTATTTTCAAAATCTACGACGAAACGAAAGCCTTACAAATTTTTCAACAATAAATAATATTTACTAACGAAAATTTCGATAAATGCCAACTTAAAGAAAAATACTGGTCAATTTTCTGTCACTGTGTTGGTATTGTTTGCGAGAGCATTCGTTTTGAGAGTGCTCAATTTTGAAAAAGTATATATTTTTTTAGAAATCATTAAAAAATATTACTCAAAACGTAAATGATGTAAACTTCTTACATGAAACTAAATATTTTACTGTTAATTTAGCTTGTTAAAACCTTATAGTCTTTAAAGGTTTTCTCTTATTTCAGTAAAAAAAATTTAATGAATTAATTTGATTATTAAATTAAGCGTAAAAAGTTTTCAACCAATTATTATTGTTTACCACATTATTTATACATTAATGAGGTTGCTAACTCTATTCAGACCATTTTTTTGTCAACACTGACTTAGCGCACTCTGCTGATGCATTTGAAAACTAATTCACGTTCCAATTAAGCTTCAGCATTATGCGGCATTGTGCGGCACTGAGTCGAAAAATGCTCTATAATTGGTAAACGCACTTTGAGAGTGCTCAATTGTGCGAAGCGTTGCTGTAGTTGGAACACTCAACGTTGAGCATTATGCCGCAAAATGCGCTCTAGTGCTGTAATTGGAAAACGCACACATTTTTGTATTGCGCTAGAGACTCACGCATATTATAATAAATATCTCAATTATCTGTTTGCGTGAATATCAACAAATCACAGTTCGTCGGCCAGATGTCAGACGTCAATACACAGGTGACATTTTACCAATACGAACTATTATTATAAGAAAAGTCGGATATTATTGTTTCATTTTTTAAGTATTTTTAAAGTAAAACTGAACTCTTTAAGTTAAAAAAACAACAGAAATGTTCAAGTTATTTAGTCGACATGGTCGTCGAAGTGGTATTATTAATATATTTTGTGACAAGAAAATTGAGGTTAGAAAAGCAAGGATTTACTATTTTTATTCCTCGACTGGATCAGTAAGATTTTCTTCTACTGACGGAGAAGCAGTAAAAATTACTAACATCGCAGAAAATATCCCCGAACCTCCACCTGTACCTGATCCGGCAATATTTGAACAAGTTACTGAAACAATTCAATCTTTAGCTGCAAATGGAGAACCCACTTTTGCTAGTCAGGGACTTGGTGGATGGGGACCTGTAGGAATAGTACAAAACTGTTTAGAATATGTACATGTTTCTCTTGATGTGCCATGGTGGGGAGCAATTCTTATGGGAACAATAGTAGTGCGAGTTATTCTGTTTCCTCTTGTAATAATGTCACAAAGAAACACTGCTGTCATGAATAATCATTTACCAGAAATTCAGACACTTCAGTTAAAAATGACACAAGCTCGTCAAACAGGAAATCAACTAGAATCTGCCAGATATGCTCAGGAGATGATGTTGTATATGAAAGAAAAAGGTTTGAATCCTTTAAAAAATCTCCTTGTGCCAATAGCCCAGGCACCATTGTTTATATCATTCTTTGTAGGACTCAGGGGAATGGCAAATTGTCCAGTTGAAAGTATGATGCATGGTGGATTGTGGTGGTTTACTGACTTAACTGTTCCTGATCAATTCTTTATACTTCCTTTAATTACAAGTGCAACTATGTGGGTAACTATTGAGTTAGGTGTAGATGGTGGAAGATTAGATGCACAAAATATGCAACTAATGAGGTATTTTCTGCGAGCAATACCCCTAATAATGATTCCATTTACAATAAATTTTCCGGGTGCAATCCTTATCTATTGGTGCTCAAGTAATTTTATTTCTCTATGTCAAGTTGGTATTCTAAAAATACCAGCTGTAAGAGAATATTTTAGGATACCTCAGTTAGTTAAACACAATCCTGATGCTCTGCCTATTAAAAAGAAAGGGTTTGTAGCTGGAGCTAAAGACTCATGGACGAACATTAAGTTATCAAGAGACTTAGCCGATCGACAAAGGGTAGATGAAATGATTTTTACTAAGGCCGGCAAAGGACCATTGCAAAAAACATATAAGCTTGATCCAACTAAACTTACAAAGGTAGAAGCAAAATCAAAATAAGTTGTAGCATAATTATAGTATTAGATATTGTATTGTATTAATAAAATGTATGTTTAATGGAGCTAGTTTAATTAATATCCATTATTGTACAGTGTTTCAAATGCATATAAAATTAAATTACAATATAGACTATATTATACTTATACTATAATAATAGAAAATTATAACAGAGTATATATTTTTTCTTTTTTTTTATAAATCTGTATTTCAAAAAACCCATAATTTTTTACTTAAAGTGCTCAGAGTGTTTTACTTTTAATACCTCTTTTACAAAACAAAACAAAACTAGGGAAGTTTTACATCAGTTTTTACTATGTAATTTTCGCCCATTAAAATACAGGTTGTACCAATTGTAAAAAGGTAGTTGCTGGGCTTTTTCAAACGAGACAGTGAAATGTGAGTGGCTACTGGCAGTAGGTACCTATCTTTTAACTGAGTTCTATAAAAAATAAGTAATTTATAATTTATTAAAGTATTTTTAAAGCAATCCGAAAGAATTGTGACGAAGTATAAAACTTTTGACTATTTAACTAAGATGTAATATAAAAAACTTGCCTGCATTGTCTAGCGGCATTTTTGAAGTCGGTTAGGACGTTGAATTCGTAACTTCGTAGGAACATTATACAAATATAAATTTTAAAATTTTGCTATCTCAGGGTAACCCTTAAATAAAATCATCAACAATACTCTATAATAAACTCATCCGTCACTTTAATGACGTAGGTATTTATTTAAAAGTTTATTTCAAATTGTGAGTCGTGACATAGACCTAAAATTTTAATTAGCCCCTTGAGTTAAAATTCCCGACCTACTTTCGCTTTTCCCGGGCTGTGTATTTACTTTTCGTATTTAATTTCATGCTGTAGTGGCTCAGTAAGTAGGCAGCTTTTGTTCAAATTCGTCTGATTCATCTTGATGTGGCGCTGTGGGAGTATTATTTATGAAGCAAAATATTTGCATTTTCATATTAAATGTTAGGACGCTAAGTTTTCATTAACATAATAACAATTAAATATACTTAGAGTAGAGCGAAGAGAAAATATCAATACTGCGGGCATGTTTGGGTGGAAATAATAATGAAAGGGAACCATCGTGTCTCGAACAAAGCAAGAAGCTCAAAGGCAGAATACTTAGGACGCAATTACAGATGTCGAGGGTACAACTTTATTAACCCTGTAGGGAACAATCTCGAACTACCCATTGTAATTCAATTTTAATAATACTCTCTTCGTTAAATAAAGCATTCAAAACAATTTTATGTTTGAGAGACGATTGCAGACTTAAGTGAAGAATTTTACGAGGAGATGATAAGTTTTTTTTTTAGATTAAATGCTAAGAAGCCCTTAGGTATGTCGGTTCGTTGATGATGCCACTTTTATTCCAGAGAAACAAAAATATGTTTTGACGGCACAGTAGGCCGATCTGATTGCCTTTAAGCGCTTGAATTAACACAATTATTTAACTGCAAAAGATACAATATAATTTTACAAAATATTAAATCTATCTATAAGTGTACCGTCTTATTGCAAGCAATAAAGATATTTAAGATGAAAATAGCCCTTATTTCAATAGTACTATAACATTATTTTGTAACGCAGGTACACCTAAGACTTAAGGCTCATTGTCGGAACTTTAAAGGATTTGTCCAAGCTCCTCAATTTGAGCGCCTGCTGCGAACATTTTCTCTGAAACACGAGTATTATTTCTAACTTTATTGCCAGAATGTATCATTTTTCCGGCTAAAAGTTTCACTGTATTCACTTATATCATACGTATATGATTTATACATCATAAGTGTTAAATGAGTATTTTCTCGACTGAAACAGTATATTATTTTATTGTATATCAGTTAGGGCCTACGACTTTGTCCACGTGGAATTGAGTTTCAGTTTTACGGATATAATAGTATTTGAAATAAAACTACGACAGTTATAAACACGAATTTATTACATCTTTAAAAATACATTATGTAGCTTAAAATTATAGGTCTTTATTGTTACAAATTTAGAAAATTGAGACGGACAAACAGAAATCAGCTATTGCTTCTTCTAATGACCCACTACAATTTAAAGATGTACCGACAAGAGATTTTTTATCATGCAAGAGGGAAAACGCGCAGTTTGCTCTCAGAATACCAAGAGTAGCCTGTGCTTCAACTTCCGGGTGCTGAGTGTCCCGGTCCCTGTTCTATTAGCAAGACAACCTATATAATTAAAGCAACTACTTGTTTTGTGTTTGTGAGCGATAAGAATATGGTATAATAATAAGAATGAGAGCAAAAACCTAACAACGGTTAATTGAAAGAAATCGTTTATATAATTCATAAAAACACATATTTATGACAGGCAACATCCCTAACTATTTCGTATTAGAGCACGTCCGTGATTTGTTCTGACCCTGTAATAACGAACCGGTCCCTGATTTTATCTACATCGTTATGAATATTGGTAGTGGGCAATACACTAGCAGTTTATTGGTTAATTACGATCGTGGTAAGGCGACATCTCGGATGCCATTGTCCTTTGATCTCTTACTAAGTTATCGTATCGTAAGATATAGGCTATCAAGGTAAGTAGAATAGGATTATTTATAACATCGAAAAATAGCTAAGATGAGTGTAGCTACCAATTTAGACATAGACATAACACTTATTACTAACAAATCACACACACATTAACACACAAAATAACAATAAGCAAAGAAAAAAATAAAATAAAAAATATAATGAGATATAAAAAAATAAAAAACAATTCATTCCATTTTCCCATTCAGTTCGTGTAAATTGTTTTTCGGGTTAGTTCATGTAAATTTCATGTTTAGTGCTGTTTAAACAGTAATTGAATACGAAAAAGAAATTTAATTTCTTGCCTTACAATAAAGTATTCAAGCAAATCACAATACGTCAGCCAATTTCTGTGTCTGTTACATTTACATTTTTGTAAGGCAAGTTAGAGTAGAGAGTACCTGAACTAACTGGCTTTGGCAATCGGAGGGTGGATTACACGTTACTAAGCCACAGAGGTATTATATACATTAAAGTTATAATTAGTTCTTCACGAAGGACATTTCATATAGTTCGCTATATTCGCGTTCGTTTATATAGTGTCGTAATTATGTTATCAAGATATTTACTAAATTGATGCTATTGAAGCGGTGAAGTGAAATGACTAGTGTACCGCGGGAGACACGCAAACGACTCCATTTGTCTGAAAGCAGTCGTTTGCTAAAATAAATTATCTTCAGGGGAGTTGTTAACTGTGAGCGAGATCTGAACATACGTAATCACTCTACGAACGGCAAACTATTTTCATTATTTGTTTGAAATAAATTTCTTTAGTTTGAAATAAATAAATTGCTGAAATTTAAGTATGTAAACAATATTAGTTCTCTACTAACGCTGGGGACTCCGAAAATTAACGAAAAAAATTACGGATTCCATAAAACAAATATTTTACTCCTTGATTGATGGCATTCCAAAAATCCTTACTGAGTGAATAATTTTCAAGTTCTAAAGGAACTTGAAAATTATTCATTTGGGTTTTCATGGGTTTTCATTAAAAAATCAGTGAGGACAAACAAATGATTTTTTTTTCTATGGTCTCGCATATTTACTAATCTGTGCCCGCACCCGTTTTGTACTTTAATAAATATAACTACTACCTTACCCTATTGCCTCAATCCTAATTCATGAGATTAGATAAAATAGTGTATAAAACTGTACAAAGCTATATATTGTTAAATTTGTTTTAGTAATTCATAATAAAAGTAAGTAAGTTAGGAACATATTTTACGTATTTAATAAGTTATATTTCAGGGATAATAAATCTCAAACAAGGAAAATAACATACCTCTATATTCTACTGTTATACAGGTAAATCGTAATGGAGAAATAACATACTAATGTAATGTTCTTAGAATATATTATATGGGTTATTTACCATAACTATATATAACGTGTACAATAAAATAAACTTATTTACACTCAAACCAGACTAATAAAATGAATTAATTATACCTAACTACCAAACATGATCCCATGGGCCAAGTATCTGGCGGTAATTTCTCGTTGCATTTCAATGCTGTTTAACATTTTTAAGAGAAAATGGGAAACTGGCCAAAGGCTTACAATGTCTAAGCATTTGGCGCGGCTCGAAGCGCTGTCACTTACCTTACTGCTTAGGAATTTGCTTAACAGGTTATTTATACAAATTTTTTTTTATAAAAAATGTTAAACAATAAATAAATACTCTTTAACAGTTTGTGCGTTGAGTGCATGCAAGCTCGCGGCGCCCTGACGGCTGACAAGTAAGTAATGTAGGAGTTCCGTTCTGCAGAAAATTCGCCGAGAAATACTACCCTTAAAAGCTACTTCTTGAAGGTTTCACGTAGAAATACGCGCTTGTACACAGTAAGTAGTTATAATTCCGTGAATTCAATGTTTATTTTCGTTTTGCTAAACTTAAATACAGCAGCACTGTTAGCCTAGAAATTACTAGGTACGATTCTTGACGTTAAGACAAGCGATTGAACCAAGTGCATCGAATGACAGCCTCATTAGCATACATTTAAAGAACAATAATATAAGAATATGATCAATGAATGACATGTGTCTGCACAATTTAGGGCTTATATCATTATACATCTTTTCAGTTTTCGCGTATTTTTTACAAACGTTCGATTCAGTAGTTACTGAGGTATTGGGTATAACATAATTAGTCGATCATTAATAATAATTAATGAGTATGTATCATATTACCAATAGTTATAGCTATTACTAATTACATTCAATAATTAGATGTTCCTATAGATTTGACCATTCTCCAAAAACCGGCAGCTATTCATACTTTAACAATACCAAATGAAGTGTTTGCGGTATTTCTATATCAATCCGCTACAGCATAGGACACCACTACCACATAGATTACAAGAAAATAGATAAATACAATAAAGATATAATTACGTGGACCAGAGGGTCTGAAGACGGGGCACTCACGGTACAG